GGGTAAGAGTATCTCGCTAGGCATGGGCACGATCTACCCCTCATAGCAGGTGAGTATCGCAGAAGGGGTCCGCCTTCAACCAGGCGATACGGGATCACGGGGAGAGGTCCCTCAACCATATCATCATCACTGCTGCTGTCCATATCCTACAAGTAACCCACAACTAAAAGTTAGGTCCTTACATTCACTGATATCATTTAAGAATTTAACGTAAGGTCTATCACGGGTTTCTATGACCAAAAGTTCATGACTAAGAATTCCTAATCTTATTCTAGATATTTCAAACCTAGCGCTCTGATACCAACTGTGACGCCCCACCTCTCCCTAAGGCGAACCCTAGGGTATCAGCAGAATGCCTGCCCAACTCTCGTCAGAACTCACGCACTCATTCAAGCTTAATATAGAGCCACAGAACAACCATCGGCTTAAACAAGAAGTATTTAGAATATACAAGCCACAACTCTAAGGTTAACAATTGTAATTACAATCCACCAACCAAGAGTAACAAAATTACACTACAATAGTCACCAAATTTATACAAAATTAACTAGCTTCCACCAAAATGCTAGTCTAGATCCTCCAATCCACCTCCAAGCCTGTTAAGGAAAAACAAATTTAAAAGGATGAGCGAACGCTCAGTGAGGCCAAGAAAATAAACGGACAAGCAAGTAACACCCATCAATCAAATAACGTGCTTGAAAGCAATTTTAAACATGACATTTCATTTAAGTGCACAAGTTGGAAATAACACACATATAAGAATACGGGAGTTCTCAAGAGTTATTTCCACATCTCGATCAAGTTGAGCCATTCGGGGTTGACCCTCCGTCAACCCAAGTAGTAATGGGACCGCAGCACTCCACTTACTACCTCCGACCAACATAGCATCCACTCGGATCCGTAACCAAACATGTATAAAGTGGTGATACTATTCGAGTATGCCTAGCGAGATTTCAAAAGATCAAATTATAATATTTCCCAAGATTCACCAAACTCCTAGACCAAGCCCTTTCCGGCTCGAGTTACAAGGTTAGCCAATGGGTTGGGGTGTCCCCACAAGCATGATGGGTCGATGAAACAACGCTCCAATCGACTTAGACTCGATCATAGCACTGAGTCGGGATGAGTAGTACCTCCCACCCCAAATAGGGCGTGATACATCTAGCCGCTCAGTGCTCACGAGTTAAAATATGTCAAGTACAAGTGCAAGTCATATATTCATTTAACAAGTATCATTCAATCACAAGAAAGAGAGTACGAGGGCGATAAAGTACATTCTCACCTCAACAAGTTCACGTATCATATATAGCACTTGTACACATATCATTTCAAACACATTAGCATTTAACATGGACTTGACACTCACCACAAGTCAAGGGCAAAATAAGAGTGAAGTGAAAAGTCAGACGAGCTCTTCGGCGTCCTCGTGACCACCTAAGACATGTACAATCATAATTACCTAGGTGTTCGACCAAAGTTAAAAAGAAAAATATTTTCTCTCTACCCACTCTCAAAGTCACAAGTTCGAGTCAAGTTAAAGAAACTTTTCTAGCTCAAACGTTGGAATAATGCTCAAAGAGAGCTCAAAGGTCGTTTATAATTCAAGTCGTGGTGATTAAATCTCAATTCCACAAGAAAGTACCACTTTCACTTTTGGCACGAAAATCAAGGAAAAAGGGTAAATGGTTTTCCCAAAACTTCAAATCTCACGTCTAAACTTTAGAATATAAAAAGTGTTCATATTTTCCAAACTAATGGAGTCAAACTCATCTAAAACTCCACTCATTTTCATAGTAAATATCAAGGCTAAGGTTCCAAGGTTCAATTATCAAACTAGTGCAATTCACCAAGAATTACTCTAGTCAAAACGTTCCATTTTTAGAATTCAAACTCATGGAAATCGAGACCATAAGAATAGGGGTTGAAGTCCCTAATTCAAGTATGAAGAGAGGTGCTATAAATCAAAGGAGTTATATGACCAAGAAAATGCATCAAGAGAAGTTTAACTTTCGGAAACCAAAATTTGAAATGAAAGTTTAAAAGTCCAAAGGAACCATGTATTTAACCATGAAATTACACCTAAAACGGTCCAACAATCGCAAAGGAATATGGAAAGTTCTTAAAAGGAGTATTTGTTTGAAAATGGGAAATTTTCAGCTTAGTGCAATACTACTTGGAAAAATTGTATCTCAAGTTCCGTAAGTCAAAAAATTAGAAGCTTTACACCGTTTGAAACTAGACTCAAAGCACTAAAACTCTCTACAAGACACTTTTCTTAGACTCCAATTCAAAATCATTCAAATTTTAGCTCAAAGTCACTGTTCTAGACAGGATAGAGCAAAACAGGCTTGCAAATTCAGTGAAGTTTGAAAATTCAAAAAAATTCTTAAAAATAGAATCAACCCTTGAAATTTATACCACAATTAAAACTCCAAACTAAGTTTCAAATGCAACAAACGGAACTCAATTCAGACCTTTCTACGCCAAGTACAACAATTCTAAGAAAACTGATTTTTAGGACCTGTTTTACGAAATTCCAGTTCTGACATACTTGACAAAGTTTAAGAATCTGATCATAACTAGAGCTACGCAACTCGAAATTTAGTGTGGTTTGTGGCATTGAAAACTAGATTCAAAATTCTGAAAATCACTAGAAGGAATTGTCTTAAAATTCGTTTTGCAAGATAGGCAAAATTGAGCTACAAGCTGCAGTTAAGACTGTTTCTCGGATGAATGCAGTGAAGAATTTGAGTCATATTTTGCAGTTCACTACAGATCATAGGAAACAAGTTAGGAGGTGCAATTTATACCAACGGAAAGTTCTCGGAGTCTAGTTTCGGATGCCACAAATGGCACTCGATTTCAACTCTCAAACAAAAAGTTATGACCAAAAACGTGAACACTAGTTGGGGTCACCTGATCAGAAAATTTTCAGATTTTTTCCTCACTTTCACTCCACATTAACACAACCAATTGGAAAGCTTTTTGGAAGATATTCAACACACATAACCACCATCATATATCAAGCATTATTGGACCAAAATAACATCAAAATTTTGAAATTAACATGAAGGTTTCAATAGGACAAAATTCGGACAGCATGCACTTTCATTCCTCTAGCTTTCTTTCCAACTCAAACTACACCATATCTCATCAAAGCAAGTAACGAATAAGCAAATAAACACACAAAATCCTCAAGGCCTCTACCTATCAAGTTACCTCAAGTCCACTACCTAATGTCAAGGTTCTTGTGAACCCATCAACAACCCAACAACTAAACTAACTAAACCAACTTATTACTAAGATTTGAGAGGAAAAGTTGAGGGTTTCTTTGAGGATTACCTTGCTGTCAAAATGAAGACTAAACACTAGGGTTTGAGCTCTTAAATCACCAAAGTTTCTTCCTTGTTCAAGTCCACTTCCAAGCTTGTATGAAGAACCAAGACAAAAAGCAAATTTAGAGAGCTTTTGTGGAGCAAGAATGGAGGACAAGGAGCTGAAATTTGTGTGTAGGAAATGGGGGAGGGGATCAGCCAAAGCAAGGGAAAGAAGAAAGGGTTTTGGTTGGTAGGTGAGTGATATGATAGTGTGTAAGAAGGATGGACATAAAGGTGGTCTTAGTGCCCCAAAAGTCAACAACCGATTAGTGAGCAATTAGTGCTCCTACTTGAGCTTAATAACTCACTCACATCTAATCTCTCAATGAACTTTTCTTAGTCTACTATTTATCATTATTAATTCTCCAAGATTATTGCACTCTCGAACTGAATTTACCTCAAAAAATGTGCATTTACTATTTCTCGCTAAACGAGCTACAGAAAAATTAAATTCGCTAACGGAATGTTTAAAAAATATAAATGAGATATTATTCCATGCAAATGGATTTAAAATGAATGAAATAAATTATTTAGAATAAACGGGTGAATAAATAATTAAATAAACCAGTAAAATGAAATAAAAGTAAGAAAATAAAAATTCGGGTCCTCACATTTTCGCATGGCTAGTTCTCCATTAAAATTTCATACTTCTAGATAAGGAACAACTGAAGATTTGGTTCAATAATAACTCTGAGATCTAAATTATTTTAATTGTTTCTTTCATTCATTGGTATTTGTATGTTTTCTACTTTTCGTGGCTATGATTATTGTGTATGATTGAATAGTGCGCAATATTTAATTATTCACATAATCTATTTGCTAATTGGAGTGGTTGAATCCGTAATTGTTTGACTGCTCTAATCCCGGTAGCGACTGGCATAATTGGATTTGTACCAGGGAAGCGTATAATTTAATTTAAATAAACTCTCGTATCGTGTTTATTGATTAGAGCAGGGTTTTTCTAGTTTTTAATGCAATTAGGAAATTAAATCCTATGGTCGTACCTAGGTTTATCTCTGGATTAGGGAAATAGTCAATGGTCGTATTTTGGCTATCGAAACAGTAAGGAGAAACTAATTGTCAGATAGTATCGGCAATTAAAAACCTATTTATTAATGAATGTTGGAATTATATTTAAATCAATGATCAGTTACATGAACCATCTCTGATGTGTGTCCTTGGATAGAGTTTTTCCCATTAATTGTCTTTCTTAATTATTTTTCACAGTTGATTAATTTGGTTAATAATTCATTAGTGTTTAATTCTCAGAACCCCCGTTTCTCTTTGACTTGAAAAAGAGCAAATTGTCGTCAGTCTCTGAGGAGACGACCCTGTTTGCCACTGTCTATAAGTTAATAATTTGCTGTCAGCTGGTCAATTCTAGTATATCGAATTAAATAAACTCTTCGGAGCCTGGGTGAATCAAGTAACTCATTGCATATCTAAAGTCCCTACTTCAGTATCTGGAATTGATTGTTGACTGCCTTTGGTGGTAGTTAGATTTTTGTTATTGCACAGGCTCGGCACCTGTCACAATTGAAGCTCCTGATACAAGCAGCTATCTTAATAAGCTTTCTTGAATCTAACATCAATTTTATAAAAAATCGTCCAAGCATTCCAGAAATGTCGCTCATTCCAAGCATCTTTGGTGGCAAACGAAGTACTATTTTCTTCAAAGCAAATCTTTCGAAATTGAAGAAGGAGGAAGTGAAGGTGGAAGTTGAGCAAGGTTGGGTGTTGTCAATTAGCGGAGAAAGGAGCCAGGAGCAAGAGGAGAAGAATGACAAGTGGCATAGGGTAGAGAGGAGAAGCAGGAAGTTCTTGTGCAAGTTCAAGCTGCCAGAGAAGGCCAAGATGGGTGAAGTGAAGGCTAGTATGGAGAATGGTATGCTTATCATCACCATGTCGATAGAGGAAGTGAAGAAGCATGAGGTTGAGGCCATTGAAATCTCCAACTAAATGTTTTATGGGTTTCTCAACATTATGGATGTTTAGTTTTAGCTATATACTAAACAACATTTTTGTGTAGTGTATACTAGTAATATGTTTGAAAATGATTAATTAGAAAAAAAACAAAAGTGTGTAAAACTTTAGTTTCTTCTTCTTCTTCTCTTTTTGTCAATCAGTAGGATTATGCTATCATATTCTATAAATGAGGGAAAACTCAACTGACTAGTATAAGGGACAATGATCAATTGTGTGTAAAGGGTGAACAGAATTTGTGTATTGAAATGGAGCATCTTTCAGTGGCTGGTTTACTCTTTCAGCTTTCTATCCATCCTTAACCCCGTGTGTATTAAGAGGATTGAAGGCATATCTCTTTTTTGTTGTTTTATTATCTTTCATCCCTTCCTTCACCCTTTCCATCCTCAATTATCATGCCTAAAATTTGAATCTTGAATCTACTAATGAGAAGAACTCTTAAAGTCCTCTCTTGATTATTGGACTAACTCTTGTGATTTGAAGGCATATCTTTGTTTCTAAGCTCCTATTTCACACTTTCAAGTATTGCAATACTGGAGTTCAAATTCCAACTATATATATGCATACTAAAGCTTGACATGGAAGAATTTGCCTTTGGGTAAAATAATGCAACCTGAAGCCAGTGTTGTTAAATTCGGATCGGACCAATCATCCTTCTTCTCAATTTAGTTAGTAGTACAAAATTGCTTTGGTGATGGAGACTCAATGCATATTAAGAAGGGTGATAGCCATTGCAACTAGAAAAGTAGTTAAAATTTTATGTATTATGACTTACAAATAGAAGTGACATATCACTTCAAAGGCGCGAAGTTGTAATCGCTAGGGTTCCTCCATGGCGAACTTGTGGTTGAAGGGCTTGTGTCCCCCCTCCCCAAGAAGTCTTTTGCAGACATTGTTTCGCAACACCCGCAGAGTGTTGCTCCCAAGGCCTCTAAAGCTTTCGTTTTTTCCCCTCAATAGCCTTCAATAGTTCGTGAGCCTTCTACCTACAGAGGTAAACCAACGGTTTTTTTTCTCTGAAAATGATATTCATGCCCTTTCCAGCCCTTTTCGCTTCTCGTTGGTTGGGAAGTTTTCTAAAAGAAGACCGAGGATGGATGCGTTCCGGAAAGAATTTCAAGCGATTGGTTTTCAAGGGGTTTTTTTGCTGGGTTTAATAGATCATCGACATGTTCTCATCTAATTCGAGCTTGAAAAGGATTATTTGCGATGTTGGTTGAGGGGCATCTGGTCTTTGCAAGGGCTCATAATGCCTATTTTTAAATGGACACCTTCTTTCTCTGTAGAGAGTAGAGACCGAATCACCATTAGCTCCAGTGTGTGTATCTTTTGCATGACTTCCATTTCATCTCATTAATAAGCGACCTCTCTTTTCGATTGCTAGACTGATTGGGGACCTTTAAAGGTTGACGCTTCAACAATCTCTCTTAACCGACCTAGCGTAGCGTGATTTTGCATTAAGGTGGATTTGCAACAGTCCCTCCCAGATAAACTTTGGATTGGGAACGGAGCTTCAGGATTCTGGCAGACCGTGAAATATAATAACCTGCCAGATTACTGTCCATTGTGCCAGAAGCTAGGCCATAAATCTGAATCTTGCCGAAGCTCAGGTAAAATTGTGGAGAATAAAGTTGATCAGGCTCCAAAAAATTAGACATCACACCAATCTAAAGCTCATGAAGATAAGACATGGATTGTAATAGAGAAATTGCAGCGGGAACTTCCGAGACCTGATCAGTTCACTCGAACTCGTCTGGTCTATCAGCTGAACAAAACCAGCAGAAAGGTCATGATCAGGTGGATGCTATTAATTATGTTTGTGCACCGAAATCTGATGGTGTCTACTTGAACTTCTCTGGTTTATCAGCTGGACATTCAGCCAAAGAGTGGTGATCAAGTGACAGTTGTTAATTGCAGCAACAAACAGTCTCTTTTGGTTCCTTTCTGTGCACGGAAATCTCCTACAATCTAGTTGATATCTTCTGGTTTATCCGAAGAACAAATGCAGGGGGAAAATGAGTAGATGGTTGTTGTTAATCTTGCTGTTAACTGCAATGTGCAGCCTCTCGCTCTCTCTTTTTACGATGACTGTAGACTCGATCAAGCAAAACGATTTCCTAAGAAGAACTTGTCTACCAAACAGACTTATGTTTTTGACTGGGTTTTAACTATGGATGAGCCGTTAACCATGGCTAATCAACTAGCTAATTTGCACATTCAAAGCCCAGATGGATGCAAGGCTCGCTCATATTCCACCTTTTGAAAGCCTGATTGATCAAGAGATGTTAACGCAGCTATACCAAATGAAATGGGCAAGGAAAAAATGCTTTTTAAGACGACCCAGGACGATTCTTACTCGACAAGCTGTTAAGGCTTCTCAAGCTATAACGTCTCCTTTGATTTAATGATTAAAGTGCTCATCTAGAATGTGTGAGGCGTAGTAGGTCGTGCAACATCCCATAGCATAAAGAAATTACTTCTGAAGCCTCTGATTGACTCTTCTATTCTGTCTGATTGTGTGGCGACACTTGGATTTCATCTAGGCCTTTTTAATAAATCCAACAAAATTTGGGTTTGTTGGAAACATTCATTTGCTATGAATGTTATCAAAAATGGTGAGCAGTTTCTTCATTTAGTTGTTACACACGAGTCTGTCTCGACAGTTTTTCATTGCAACTTTGTTCATGCGAAGTGCACAAGACAAGAGCGACAAGAGCTTTGGATTGCTTTATTGTAAATAAAACAAATAGTTGGGCAACGGCTATGGCTCTTGGGAGGCAATTTCAATGTTGTCACTTCACTGGATGAATACTCAGGAAATTCCTCCCAAGATATTGGAGCAATTGCAAACTTTAATTCTTTCATTCATAGTTGCTTGCTTAGGCAGACATAGTGTTAGGATCGGGTCAGGAAATAGACAAACTCAAGTTAGAACAAAGTAGGCGGTATAACCGACCATATAATAGATAGGCGGTAGATACCAGCCATATAATAATTAGGCGGTAAAACCGACCATATAAAGACGGATAACAAAGCAAATAAAAGACACAGAAGATTTACGTGGTTCGGTCAAATTGACCTACGTCCACGGGCGAGGGAGGAGCAATATTTCTACTATGAAGAAGAAATACAAAAGCCGTAGGAAAGTGGTTCCTAGGCCAATAGGCACTTACAAAAGAGTTTAGAAAAATATTCCTAAACTCAAAACAAGAGAGTCTAAAATATTTAACTGAATGGGCTAGATGACTCAAGAAGCTAATAGCCCATATAACTCTCTTGAGTGGTGCGAGTTAAAACCTTCAGAAGGCTTCCTTATTTATAGGAATCCAAAGAAGGCATTCCTCAAGCCTTTGTCGATGTGGGATGCAAAATTTTGCCACCAATTCAACCATTGTGGGCGTCAACAATTGCGGCTCAACAAATCTCCACCTTGGCATAATTTTGAGTCCCACCATCGTCAATAGTAAAATCGCTCCACCTTCTCCACATAAGACCCAATGGGTCTAAATCACAAATAACGAACACCAACCAAGTCCAAGCACTGCTTGAACTTGTAATTTGGAAGAGGTTTCGTAAACATATCGGCTGGATTGTCCTTAGTATTGATTTTCTGAATAAGGACTTTTCCCTCAGCAATGATATCCCGAATGAAGTGATACTTCACATCAATATGCTTCATCCTCTCGTGATACATCTGATCTTTAGTCAAGTGTATGGCACTTTGACTATCACAGTGAATATCAGTAACACCTTGATATAGACTTAACTCGCTAAATAAACTCTTCAACCACAAGGCTTCTTTGATTGCCTCGGTCACAGCCATATATTCTGCTTCTGTAGTAGACAAAGCTACGACAGGTTGTAGAGTAGCTTTCCAACTAACAGCACAACCGCCAATGCAAAATACATAGCCTGAAAGTGATCTTCTCCTGTCAAGATCTCCAGCGTAGTCTGAGTCTACAAAACCAACCAAAGTATTGTTATTTCTTCCAAATTCCAAACATGCATTTGAAGTACCTCGCAAGTATCTGAGAATCCACTTCACAGCCTGCCAATGTGTTTTACCAGGGCAAGACATATATCTGCTAACAACACTGACTGCTTGTGCAATATCTGGACGAGTACAAACCATTGCATACATAATACTGCCGACTGCACTGGAATAAGGAACCCGTGCCATATAATCTTCCCCTTCATCTGATTTTGGTGATTGAGCAGCAGATAGCCGAAAATGGCTAGTAAGAGGAGTAGATACTGGTTTAGCATCTTTCATGCCAAAACGTTCCAAGACTTTCTCAAGGTAATTTTTCTGGGTCAAAAATAACTTTCCTACTCCTCGATCTCGATTGATATCCATGCCAAGAATTTTCTTAGCTGCTCCTAAATCTTTCATTTCAAATTCACTATTTAACTGCAGTTTCAAGGTGTGAATTTCTGACAAATTCTTGGCAGCAATGAGCATGTCATCAACATAAAGCAGCAAATAAATGAAAGAACCATCATTTAACTTCCGGAAGTAAACACAACTATCATACATGCTCCTCAAATAACCATGACCCAACATAAAGGAATCAAACCTCTTATACCATTGTCTTGGAGACTGCTTCAATCCATATAAGGATTTCTTCAATAAGCAAACATGATCTTCCTTACCTTCAATTTCAAAACCCTGGGGTTGTCTCATATAAATTCGTTCTTCAAGTTCGCCATGTAAGAAAGCTGTCTTAACGTCGAGCTGTTCTAACTCCAAATTATACATGGCAACTAAAGCAAGTAAAACACGAATAGAGCTATGTTTAACAACAGGTGAGAATATATCATTAAAATCAACACCTTGTACCTGACTATAGCCCTTTGCAACTAATCGTGCTTTATACCTTGCATCTTCAACCCCTGGAATACCTTCCTTTTTCTTGAAGACCCACTTGCAACCAACAATTTTCTTAGCTGACGGCGGCTTTACAAGAACCCAAGTT